AAAGTTAATACACGGATTCGCTTGTGATAAAAAATATGTTTCATAATGTTGTTTCCATATCGGATATCCTTGTGATTATTCTGTCTGTATACGATATTTCAAGATCGTATCTTTGATAATAAGCGCAAAGAACACAAGCAAAATCATCCTTCCGATGTACTTGTAACGAAACCAATTTCGACTAATGCGTTGTTACCATATCCAGCACTGTGCTTTCCATCATTTCACGTCCGATATTTTGAGGCAGAGATGCATTTACAAATGTTCGCGTTCAGGAAGGAACGGAAACAGTTCCAATTAAAAAATATTGTTCCATTAAGCGAACTTTCATGAAAACTTTTTTGTTGTTAATATTTAATATAAAATACTTTCTATATAATCGAGACAAGAAATTTTTAACTAATTTTGAATTTCAGATATAACTAAATTTTTAACTCTTTAATTAGCAGAGTATTCTTACTATTATTACTAATGATAAAAAAACATATCCCTATTAATTTCATATCGACTTGAAAATATACACAATATTAATTATATTTTAAGAAAATGTAAATGTTTTAAATTTTTAAAAACAATTTAAAAAATTTAAAAAATTTATGAAAAATTTTAAATAGAAATTACAATTAGAACTCCTACTAAGGTTCAAACAGCTATGAATGTCGCGATCGCTTTATGAATCTATTGTGATTTGTGAGAGAAAAATTTTTATTCATAGCTTTTTTCTTGATAAACTCGTGGCGAAAATTCATCGCAGCTTTGGGTCCATACGCTTTGGGAGCGAAAGCTGTGTACGCACCCTGGACGCATCGTCGGCTGGGTGCACGTCGATGCCATACCACGGGGAAACCGGTGTTGTGTATGTCACCGAAAGAGACGGCGGTGGGGGCCGACCGGCCGGTGGTTCTTCATGGTGGGGGGCCGCAGCCAGGGTTTCCGACCGCGTCGGCGGCGCTTAAGCCTCCAACGCGGGGGCATTGCCGTCGTGGCCGCGGTACGATCCGATCCGGCTGCTGTCTCGCAGTGCGCGCTGCTCCTCCTGCCGCACGTGTCGACGGTCTTCCGTGCTGAAGGATTTTCATTTCTCTTTCTTTGCCCTGTCCCGCGCGAGAGATAACCCGCGTGGCGATATCAGTCGCGAATCCCCGCGATCTTCGCAATTCGCAATTCCTCAGTGCTACGAGTGCGATAATAATAATGATGATGATGATGATGATGGACCCATGAGAGATGGTGGTGCGTGTGTGATGGATCTGAGGAAACGCTTCTCTCGTCGTTCGCGACCATCGCGAGTATGCGTTGACGAATAAAAGGGGGTGGTTCCCCGAAAGGGAAATCTCAAGGAGTTACATCGTGATGACACGCGATCGCGCGTGAGGAGGTCGATGTAGCGTGCGAGAGAGGAACGACGTGGAACTGAACTTTTTTTTTTCTCCTCCATTCAAGTTGTACGTTGCACGTAAGTCGCGCGGGGATTTTAATATGCGTATCGAGGGTACGGCGAGCGCGTGGTAGTGCGTCGGTGTTTTCGGAGCACGGTGGCTCATTCACGACGGGATAGTGAATGAAGGGCGATCGGCTTCGTGTTAGCGAAGGCAAAACAGTTTTGTCGTAGGTCAGTCCGCTGTAATCGAGCGCTGTCACTCCGCTTCATCGCTTGACGCGCGTGGCCTTCGATCGGCCGGGATGCCTCGTTTCCCATCATCTTGCGCCGGATATTGAGCGGACGGTCGAATCGGAACGTGCGCGCGATAACAAGATCGCGAAGACTCGACCCGGGATCATCAGCCCTTTTCCGTCTTGATCGAATTTTTTAGTCGGTTTAAACGAACGTTGGTATCTTCCCCCGATCGTTCGTCTGACTGGTGTCATTTTACCACTGCCGTTTCTATCAGTGCTAGTTGTAAATTGTCTGGCGTGTGAGACTGCACTTATTTACGTCTACGTGCACGATATACACTGTTCACGATTGGACCTCGTGACTAGCATCCTCGTGACAAGTGTCAATTGTACGTGGTGAATGGGACTCAGGGCTTGCCTGTAGTTTATTCCTAAGTGCTACGAGCAATGCGAAGCTTATAAGTTCTGCCGCTTATAAGTGCCACGTTGAGTACGCGGAGCTATTACTGGGATTATAAAAGCGTTTCTCTCATCTAGGTAAGAATTAATGCGAGTGTTTAACACTTATTATGCATGCAATAACAATAAACTTAAGTGACCAAAATAACAAAAATATATGACAGATGTACTGTACTCGTATTAAGTAAATGCACATTAAGTAAATATTTATTTAAGTGCTGTTTTTTGTTATTTTGTTGAAATTAGATATAAAAATAAAAAAAAAGCTTACAAAGAGTGACATGATTTTTATTTGATTTTTTTTTCGCGAATATCCTCTTATTGTTTTATTATATATACACGTATACAATTGTAAGAGACGAAAAAATGAACACGGCCGACTAGGATTTGAACTTAGGATTCTTTCTTCTTACCGCCAACTCCTAGGATCCCGTAAACAAAACGTTGTGCAGTTAAATCCAATCACATGCAGTGGCATTGACAATAGGCTTTACAATATTATCATCACATCGTTGTTACTGGCGTTCATATCAAAGGATTTGATAAGGATGGCAGGAACAACAACGTGATTGATGGATTGATACAGCCTATTGTCAATGCCGCTATAAACGATTATAAGTTAACTGCACAACGTTTGTTTACGGGAGTATCCTAGGAGTATAATCGAACACAAATTCACCGTTGGCTCGCTTTCTCAACTCAGCATCGGATACAATAGTGGATTCGAATTCGACCATATTTTTGATACACAAAATCGTAGCCGTCGTTCACTGTTGTCGCAGAAAGCGCGAGAACTTTCTACAACCTGAAAAAAAAAACGGTTACTTTGTGATTGCCTTACAGAACACAATATATTTTATAATATATATAAAATAGTAATAGTAATAGAAATAGTAATTAGTAAAGTATCTATATTAAAATATATCTATATTAAAAAGTATAATATCTATATTAAAAAAGAGGAGCATATTCTAATGCTGTCAAAATCGAGTTTTTTTTATGTAAGCCATGTACCAAACATATTTTCTTGAGAAAACATACAGAATTACTGTTTATTCGTTTTTAATATGAACATTTTATACGTATCTCAAACCACGGATTTACTTAATTGTAAAAAAGAATTGTAAAAAAATAAGATAAATTATTAAATCTGAATTAGACAATATTGTCGTTATGAATTATTAAAATTTTAAGTTGCATCTACATTTTGATTTAAAACTTGACTTATCAATATGCCGTTCCTTTTAAGATTAAAATGCTATTGATAATATATATATATATATATATATATAGAAAAGAAAATATAATTATGCAAAATAGTGTCTAAATAATGTTAGTGCAACTGTTAATTCGAATCGACTTAAGCAAATACTGTACGTAGTGCATTGGAGTGAATTTCTTTTTGCTGCATTCGTTTCACGTATTACTTTATCCATACGGAACTATTTTATCAATTTGACAAATATTTATTAAGCAAATGCATTCTTTAGAGCCATCCTCAATCGAGCACCACTCATTTCTAACTTAAAGCGTATGGCTCTCGGTTTCGCGAGAAAGTCGATCGTCGTTCTTGCAATTCGAGTACACGCACGATTCGCGGAGAGTATATACCTCCTGCGGCATCTCGCCAACCTCTTTCAACACGGTTAAATATTAGCGGGAAAGACCGGTGCGCTACGATAAATTCTAGCCACACGACACACCAGCGCGCGCCGACTCGTAAATCGGCCTCGCGCGACATGTATACTTCCAGGCATCATTAATTAAAAGCCACGCTTGTTGCCTAGCACCCTCTTGTCCTTTCCTTGAAGATCGGCAGTTCCGTGGCATCTTCGTGAAATATTTAAATTTAGACCTGCACCCGTGTACGTACTCGTGTAGTGCAAGATTCTTGAGATCGATCATATATAATATTTTCAGAAGCGAGAAATTGAGCAGCAACAATTTTTTTCCTTATTACGTAATGTTTATAAATGTCAGCGTCGACTTTCGAGTTATGTTTCACATCTAATTCTAGATTATTAATATTAAAAAGTTATTACTAACTGCATTAATTATTACTAGATTATATTACTGATTAGTCACAATTAGTCACGCGGTTGTTTTTTATTTGTATATTTTACTTATTGATTAATAATATTACGATTTGTTTTCAATTGTTATCTTTATAATTAAATAATGAAATATATATAATAAAGGATATATTTCTCTATTAGCATATTAATTTATTATATATTTAGTTATTTAGTTATTTCGATAACATAAACAACACAAATTTTCAGTGTCTGCTATATTGATTCGTCACAATTAACTAAACTAATTCGATTATATTTCAAACTGATTAACACGTTGCAGTGCAGCTCGATCTCAGCACAGTATAACAAATAAGAACTTAATTAGTAATATAACAGCAATTTTTTTAATGAAGAGTTATGCGAATTACTAAATATCTCACCGACATTTGTCACATCACAAATGTCATATTACAGTTATCATTTTTAGACGCTTTATTCTTATATTTAATATTTATATTATCTTTATTGCGAAATAGAAAAAGATATTTTTTTCTAATATTAGGTATGTTGGGTAGAAGCAAGAGGTGAATAATTGCGCAAGAGTAGGGAGAAGAGGACTTGTCCCAATCTTACCTCCATTCACGACGTTACGCCGCGCGCCGTCGCGATCACGCGAAAACGAGTTTGGCAGGTCGGTTGCTCGAGCGAGCATAATCTTGCTCTTATCTCGCTTTGGCCTGATCGGGCGAGAACGGTTCGGAGTAATGCGAAAAAAAGTATGCGTCGCGCGGTATGAATGGTCGAGTTATTTGAATTATGTTCGATCTAGCCTTCGATCAAATGGTAAACCAAGAAAAATGTTAAGAAATAAGGATTCCCGAAGTTCCAGTAAAAAAAAGAATACCACAATACATACGAGCTTCTCATTTATTTCTGTACACAAGTGAAGTACGTAAACGGATAGATGTTAACCATAACATTTATGGTATAACATGTGATTTTGAAAACTACTATTGGCGTATATGATAACAGGAAGGAAATTTCACTTTTTCATTGTAGCGTTGACGTTCATCTAATCAATTAGTAAGTGGGAATTCTAATGCCCCAGAGAATCTCCAGCAAGTCCTTGATGACTAGGAGATCGATGCCGGCATTTCTAGCGTGGTTCAAGAGCTCCTGACATTTGGGGTGATTGTAAACCTTGTTGACGATCTGCTGGAAGTTTTCGGATTCCAATTGTTTGACAAAATTACGGAACGCCTCAGAGGTCTCCAACTTCTTTTCGTACAAATCCTGAAGCTGCTGCTTAGGCACAATAGCCAGGATGTCATCAACGAATCCCCTAATTCCACCGGTGATCTGTGTGCCCATGAAAAAGGAGGGCGGGGGGGTGAGAGGGGGGAGTCCGAGAGCGTTATTGAGTATGTTCACGATCTTGTAAATGTCAATGCCGGCTTCGTGGATGTAATCCATTAAAGTTTTAATCTCAGGCAGAGCTTCTACGTCTTTGACCAGCTGCTTAAATCCTTCGGATTGGAAGTATTCGACCATTTTTTGGAATTCTGCATCTTGAGCGTAGTATTGAAGAGTGATTGACATTATCTGATCGACAGGCATCATATCCAAGAACTCTTGGATGTCCTTGTGGAGCTCACCTCTGCCGAAATTGGGGATTTCGATTTTGGCGGAGGCTGCAGCCACGAAGGCCAACAGAACCAATGCGAATTTCATCTGCGAAAATAAATAATTTTGTTGAGATTATTGCATTTGAGAATTATATTTACATATTACATGTATGTATGTAATATAATATATAATATAATATTATTTTATATTATCATATTTTACATTTATTTATTATATTTTATGCTATATATGAAATATATGTATTTATTAATATTCAAACAAATCAAACTATGCAAAAATTATATTAACGCAAGTGAACTTATAATTTATGGTACATCAACAAATATTGGTTGAATATCTATTTTGGTTTTGAGTAATTTTTTATGAAAAAAAAAAAATGATTACAAATATTATTTAATTTTCATTATATACTATTAATTAAATTATACTATGATGTTTTGATTTATTTTAATTATTTAAAATATATACGATGTTAGTTACACTGTTAATTTAGTTGACTGAATCAATAAAATGAGTATCGAAAATCTGTATTTGACAATATTTAGATGAAAAAATAAGATAGGTAATTGAAAAATGGTAAAATATTAATAAAATTGTTCTTTATTACTAAATATTCTTTATTATTAGATAAAATCGTTTTTTTCTTAAAAATTATTTATTTATATTTTTTTACTTATTTTTGAGAGCTATTTTTTGAAAACAATTTTATTGTTAAAAAAGATACGAATTAAATAATTTGTGGTTGTTTAATCCTTATTTTTTATATGCAATCTATCACTCAAATTCAGAATAATTTAACTTAGTTTATTAATATACATAGTCTACTGATACTCACCTTTAAAGTAGTTGGTGGTACTTCAGCTTGTGATCTCTCAAACTGATGCTTCGAAATTCTTGCTGCTGTCTTTTATACACGAAATTATATCTTATTTGTCAATTTATAATGATAAGATTATTCATTATCTGCGAATTATGCTCGATTTTAGAACAAAACACTTTTGAGATTATTTTAAAAAATTATGCAATCATTTTAGATTATACTATTATCTTTATAACGGATAATTATCAATTCCACATGTCAATTACTATACAAATAATGTTAAGGGCACTTGACCAATGTTCGAGAGAATTGTAATTAATAGATATAGCTAATTCATTATTGATAAATCGTAACAGGATGTTTCGTACTTTTAATGTTATTTTTATTAATTTATAGAAGATTTTATTTAAAATCTTTTGCTCCTAGAGAGAAGGAGAACACTCCTAAGACAAATAGAAAATAATGATATCGGATTTATAACATAGATGGCATACGTAAAAGAGAAAAAATTGCTATAAAATCTGGAGATAAAGATGGAATCTTTTTAAATTTCAATACTTTTGTATATAATATTTTCTATCTAATAATTAAATATATTGAAATATGCGCATATTTTTTTGTATGCAGTGATTCAGAGTTAATTTTCTTATATAATATTTTTTATATAATATTTTCTTATATAATATTTTTTTATATTTTATATAAACATCGAAATAATTATTGATAAAATCAGCTTGTATACTTATCTTGTTCTAGATAGATCGATAAGTGCAGGTGCGTTATCGAACGAAATTAACCATTGACCCCGTATTACAAATGCGACACGTAATAAAAATTTCCGTTAAGTCAAGTATTTGCAGTAATCAGAAAAATTGTGGGATCGTCTTGCCTAAAGCTTCGCTATTTGTGAGAAATATTCGTTTATTTTAGCGTTGTCCATATTCCTGAAATACCTTTCTCCGCTTTCGCCGATCAGCGTTTATCTTTTCGTAGCGGATGCTCTGAGCAAGTTTTTTTTTATAGTTCTTCCGCATATTACGTTATATTACATTCGCCATGAGCTATCATTATCGCATTACCAGTGTTTCTGTAGCGTACTTTAGACTCATCCGCTCACATACTATTAATCGATTAAAATCTGCTTAAGACCCATTCGTTATTCTTTCTCGGTTCGTTTGTTCCGCTACATTAGCCACAATTCGATTCGGAATTCACCGAAATTCACGAAGCCTGTCATTTGATGAAAATAACGAGGTTTATCTTCATAAATCTTTGAACATTTCTGCGTTCTTCAGCGATTAATCCGCCGTCGAAAAAAGACTCATCTTAAATTATTCTCGTATCGATCGCAAGGATCACTCACGTTAATGCTTTAAAAAAAAAAAAAAAAAATTCGTATAGAATATACGCAAGCGAGCAATAATTCGTAACCGTGAGAAAATGCCCCTTATGCCGTCATCGCGATGGAAATGGTCTTGCCTATTCCTTAATCGTGCCTTGATCATGTGGACTCGATGTTCGATCTCACGCCTCGTCGATCGCCGATTTTAGATGTTTTAGTTCCGCTTTCGTTATCGCTGCCGGGCGCAAACACGTGTTTCGCCAAATGGAATAACGTTGTTCTTGTCGTAAAAGCAATTCTTTGGCGATTCAGACGGGATTCATAAATATACTTCGATTTCGAGGAAACAATCGCGTGTAATAAATCATGTGCTGTATTATTACAACAAGCTAGTTCAATCATTTTTGAGTTATTTTTATATGTCGAAGAAAATGATTAGTACTTTTTTGTTATTAAATGTATCCAAGTAACACATTTTTTTATTATCGTTAAGTTTTTTATCAGTTGCATAGCTGTATCCATATTGATTGCTAATCTTATCGAAAACCCACAAAAGTTCACGTAATCTATTTTATTTGCTTAAGTGTTTTTCGCGTTGCAGTCTAATGTCCATGTTATGTCAGTGTCTCGCGAGTCGTTTACGCGAGAGATCTTTTGTGTTTTTCGTTAACGTTATTGATTGCGCAATCACACGTTTATCCTGTTTTTTTCGCGAATCTCTTCACGGCTCCTCACTTCGATCGTTATTAAGTATCACTGACGTATACCATTTCATCTTGAATCAGCGTCGCAGTCCGAATCGAACGCGAATGGGCTGTCAATGTACTCGTTGTATCGCTGCCTTTTCTCATCGCCATCGACTATTCATATTGATCTCGTTTACCTGAAGTTTTGATCAATTACTAAGATGAGTGATGTATTTAGTATTAAAAAATCGACATAATTTTAGTGCATTCGAAGTTTTTGACATTTTTTCATACATGCTACAATATAGTTTTTATTGTGTGAGATTAAAGAAAAGTGTTTAAAATTAAAATTAGGAAATAGTGACTTTTGATTTTGAACTAAAATATTTGAAACATCTTATGACGTTGATGCTTAAAGTAATATATATAAAATTTAGTATTTATCGATCGTTAATTGATAAATGTGTTTAATTTATTTTAAATATAAATTTATCCGTTTTTTGTGTTCAGGCCTTTAGTTTTGCCAATGAAAAGTGCCAATGAAAGGGTGAAAGTTAACAATTAAAGTCTTTCGAAAGTAAATGTTTTTACAACGTTCGCTTGCGTTATACATTGAGCGACAAGTCTGGCTATGGTTATACTCTCAATTATATACCGCTATTCGACGTTCAAGCACTCGGTGCGGTTGAAGTGTTCCAGTATGCGTTTGTTATGCTAATCTAGGGGTAACATGCTCTTTGCCCTGTCCGACACGGCGAGACGAGCACGTCAATCTCTCTCAAAAAGAATGACGTAATGGCTCCAAAATCGTTTTTTTCCGCCTGCCAGCCTCTCCCTCCTCGCTTTGCATCGCTGCTTAAGATGCACACGTCGGTTTGAACGCAAGAAACGTTTACTATAAGAGTCGATTTTGCTTGCTATTTTTCTTTTTGTTTCGAGGCCGGCGGAGCGACTCTCGGCCGCGATTTAGGAGTCGTAAAATCAGCCATGCCAGAGTTCGACGAAAAAATGAGAGCCGAAAACCACCACCGGCGGAAGGCCTTTCGCGTCCAGAAGTTTAGCGAAATTGCACCGGCTGATGACTGTAATTACTGACGAAATTAAACTCGTTCCGAGAGCATTTCTGCGGGCCGATCTTCCCGGCTGCAAAAAAAGTGATTTAAAAGGCGAGGCGAGGATTAAACAATTCCTTTCGCGAGCGCGCAATAAAACGTGCGTTGTATTGGCGCAATGGTGGCGCTGGTTAGCAGAAATTTTGCGAACTTCATCCTCGTTTCTTGCCCCCATGCGGGAATACTTCGGAGCACGACTTGATCGTCTGGAAGATCAGGAAGTTTGGGTCGTTGCTGTTGCAATAAAATCGTGGGTCAATGGCCGATGCAACGTCGCCGTTGCTAGCAAAGATGAAGAACATTTTGGAAGTCGTGCGGCTAAAATTTAATCAAGCAAGAGCTTTCTAAATTGTTATTGGGAGGGGAAAGTGCTCTCCCGAGAGATCGAAACCGTCGACCATTTGGTATTCGAGCAAGACATCGCTTCGGAAAATAGGATCCCTCTCCGATGCGGGTCGGGATATTAGAACTGCGTGATCAGAGAAAATTGATTAAAGTTTGATTAATTTAGGAATGCTCCTTAGAGAAATAAAATTGATTCGAAAAATTAAAACATCATACTACAATCAATCAAAAGTTTGCTTTTAAAAAATTGTTTTATGTACAAAAAACACAATTTTAACAATTTAAAATATACAATTTTGTACATAGAATTATATAAAGAATTATACAAGTAATCGATATAGCGAGATAGAATTATACGAATTATAAATTAAGCACAGTTGAAATATTGATTTATTGTTTTTATCACTTAGAAATATTGTAAAACTGAATATGATAATGATTGATTATAACAGAAAATTTCGAGATACATCTTTTCATTATTGAAGAGTTGTGCAAGGCGGAGCGCGTGGCTCACTGAAGCGTAACATACATTCTGCTGGAAGATAATCTTTAGAAACATTTGTTATCTTTATCGATCTGTTAGTTCGATCATTCGCACTTCGTTCCGTGCATTTCTCACATATTAGCTTGTTCCGTTTGCACGTATCTCGCATAACTTAAAGGATTACAGAACTGAAATCCGACGAAAATGAGGGCAGCATTCAACGTTGATTATTTCCGCGTCCGATATATCAAGTATTAGCATACAGTTGTAAAAAAATTCTTGTGATATGAAAACGGTTGTGGTCAGAATTTTAAATTTACAAAATCATTAATGCATTAAATATTGCATTTTATGAAGATTAGATTGATCCGGCAATATTGAGTAACTTTCTGTCGATGACTTATTATAATAAGCCCACCACCCGTAATTATTTCAGCGGTATCCGGGAATTACGACTGCGTCATCGGGGCGACGCACGGACGACACCCCGCGATTGGCAATTCCGTTCGCATATAATTGCACAGGAAGGAGACAGCGTCATAAATAATTTTTGTACCGCTTTTTCGTCGTCGTATTAATTTGCGATTAATCTTCGAGGCGAAAGTCGAAGCGAACGTCTCGCGAGCCCTACTTTAACTCCAACGTGTTAAAAAAATGCGCCGCTCGTAGCCGCTCGTGTTAATGCTTTCCCGGGGAGAACTACAAGCTTAATGAATGCCGAGCAGTTATAATTAAAGTAACGATCAGCAGCATTAATGTTGTCATAAACGGTATGCGCTGGAACTCGTTTCAGCCGCTTCGATCTTCCCTGTGAGATCAGATTGTGTTCCAACTATCTCTGTGATTTAAAACGTGCTGTCGATAAAAATATACAGAAATGGCAGCAATGCATTCCAATAAATAATTTCTTTCTTCCGTGCCGATTTCACGTGTACGCTCTTACAGGTATCGTCTGGTAATTGAATATACATTAATTAGCGTAATTGGATATTTATGAAAGATCTGTGTCGTTAAACAGGGAATCACATGCTATTAAATATATAAAATGCTTCAGAATTCTCTTGTCTTTCTTCGAATTGCAGATATGAAACGAAAGAGGAAAGCAATTGCGCTTTTATTAGATATATAGAAGTAAAATAATTT